TTTTAAAACAAAAAACAAACCCCTCCCCCCCCCCTATTAGTTACATGGAATTTCCTAGAGGGTGGATGAAGTAATGACTCTTCGCAAAATCTGAATTTTACGACTTAGCATCATCTTGATAACAGTATTAATGTGATACTTAGAGTCTGATGAGGTGATAAACCTTTTCTTAAGAGTTGAAGGTCTCATACCCTTAACTGCTCCTACGAACATTACAGACACTGTACTTTTCGGAAGGGGTTAACGAAACATCTAAATACTTTGAGTTAAACAAAAGTTAAAACTTCTTAAAATGGCAAAAAGAAATCTCAGGTTAGAGAATTTATAAAAAGATCACTAGATAATGATATATTTTTTTATTTACTGTATGTTTGGTATTGATACAGAAGTCGACACACATTTGACTTCCATGTATATTAAGTAAGGAATACTTCTAAAGGACTATTCTATTTCTTTGTTTACTTATATAGTTTATGTTACATGTGTATAATGTAGTATAGTAAAAAAAAAAAAAAAAAAAAAAAAAAAAAAAAATTATAAAAAAATAGTTTTAAAATTCTTGCTAAAGACAGGGAACCAGACTCGACTAGCACTTGTGCTAACTTCTGGTACCCCCTTTAACAACAAAACTGTACACATAATATTTTATTCCATTTGTATACGACATACTTGTAAAATAATATTTGTATTATTCATGTGTAATGTTATCAATCTTGTGTTATATTGTTATATTTTATGTAATCATGCTTGATACATTATGTTTTACTTGTTATTATTTTTGTTGTTAATAAACTCAAAACTCAAACTCAAACTCAAACTCAAACTTTCCAAAACGCAGCTCTCTCTTTGTCTTTTTAAACAGCGCCATCTATATGAATCGGACAGAGCAGTGTCATCTTGACTTTCATGAATGACTTCACGTGAAAAGTTTATCACTGTACATTAGCGTCTGGTCAATGGGCGTCAACGTCTAACAGTGGCGTAGAAACGGGAGGGGGAGGATATAACCCCCTCCCCATCCATGGCATAGTAAATCGGAACAAGAGACAGAGAACATTGCATATACAGAAAAAGGGGCGCAGGAAGGATCGTGAAAAGACAGCTCCCGTTACCCCCCCCCCCCCTTATTCAGTAGCCATGTGAAAATCAGTGCCCCCCCCCCCTCGTCCTCATGTCTCAACAAATGCAATTAAATGGTTTGTAGTTTGTTATTTGATTTTCCCATCTACCTACATTGTATACATTTTAATGTCATTCATGTTACATCTTTAATTGCCTTTCAACCCTTTTATATGTTTCTCCTTGGAAATAATACTTAGATATTCGTATTTTTCTCCTATCTCCCTTTCTCTTTCTTCTCTCTCTCTCTCTCTCTCCCTTTCTCTCCCCTCTCTCTCTCTCTCTCTTTCTTTCACACACACACACGCACACACCCACACACAAGCACGCATACACACACACGCACACACACGCACACGCACACCACCACACACACACACACACTCGCTATCTCTCCCTCCCCTCTCTTTCCCTTTCCCTCTCTTCCTTTCTCTCTCTCTCTCTCTCTCTCTCTCTCTCTCTTTCCCTCGCGCACTCTCTCTCTCTCTCTTTCTCTCTATCTCCCTCTCCCTCCGTCCTTCTCTCTCACTCTCGATGGATGCAGCCACCCATTTCCCCTGCTTCCTACGCCCATGCTTTCTCATAAATCCGTATCTACAAAAAAAAAATGATACATCTACATGATAAGAACGAGGCAGACTCTGATGCAAATTTGATTCGAAAGCCGTTTACTTTATAGTTAATATATCTTAACAAAACAGAAATGTGACGGTAAATGTTTCCTTTGGACAATGTATGTTACATAATCTCCTCAGTATTTACACTTTATACAATATAATGCTTTCCCCTTATTACAGCGCGTGATATAAAATATACAATATTGACACATATATATATTCGTATATACAACTTATGGTGATTTGGTATCGGGTGCCCCCTGCGTATAGGGTGACGTGTTAAGACAATTCACATTGAAACTTTTTGCTGTTTTTCGAGAATAGCTTCGGCGACAATTTCCTCAAGCTTTATTTAGCCACAAATATAAATGGTAAGGTTTAGCTTTGCAATTAGGTTTATAAAAGATTAGACTTTTAATAGGTTGAAGGTTTAAGTGTTAGGGTTGGTGTTAAGGTTTGGCCCAGGGTTAAATTTAGGAATTTGGTGACTGTATGAAATTTGTGATCGAGGTGACATTTTCTGAGCAACTTGTGTTGTACAACCATTTTTGTGGCCCTAGTGTACAATTTCGTATAATTTAGAAAAATTCTATGCCTAGCCCCTGGTACTGATATATATACTTATTCTATATACTTTGTGAACCATTTCATTTCATCGATTACAAAGTACGGGGTTCGAATCCTTGCCACTATACACCGAAGTCAATAGGCAAGACATTAATCTGCATTTTGCCACTCACCACCTAGGTGATGCTGTGATATAGGAAGAAAGTCCTTGAAAGCCAAAGTGCCTGATAAGGATAGCCACTAAAACCAGAGCAATACAATACCGCGTTAATAAACATAACTATTAAAGGAGAAGTCTACCCTGATAATTAGCTGGTATTAGTTAAAGTAAAAAACAAGAGGAAAGCAAATTAAAGAATGTTGGAATAAAATCCGATTAAAAGTAAGAAAGCTATAGATTTTGTGAAGATGTCACCAATAACTAATACATTAGCAATATTGTGATATTTCTTTCGAGATCCTCTCCAACTTGCTCTGTCATACAATTCCATGGTTCATGTTCTTACTTGTTGATGACGGAATAAATTTGTTTCACGCAGGAGTTGCATAGAAACATAAGAGTAATAATCATATTTACCGTGCATTTAAGCTTGAAAAATTTCTTTAGCAAAAACAGAAATGTCTGATTTTTGCTGTTAGTACAGAGCAAATGGGGGGGGGGGGGGGGGGGAGGGGGGGGAGGGGGAGGGGGGGGGGGGTCTCACACGATACGTCACATAGTTGCCAATTTGTGTTTGATTGATCGCAACTGCAAAGGTTCATAACTTTCTTACTTTTAATCGGATGTTGCTTAAATTTTCATTGACCTGTTCCTCTCAGTTGTCTGTTTCTATAAAAATCAGCATAATATCAGGGTATATTTTTCCTTGATTGGGCGCTCTACAAATGTAATTATTGTTATTAAACACCACAAAAAATAATTTAAGAAGGTAATTTGTTTAACTTCATATTAAGACAAATTTTCAAGATGTAAGACATTTTGCAAGGTTTCAAAGTTTCGTCACTATTGTGACCAGTTGATGGCTCTAACCCAATACACGCAATCGTTCTTATGTTACATAATAATCAACATTAACAAGATCGCAAAGATTTTCAAAAAATCAATTAAATTCAAGTACTCCATGAAGTTATGTTCGGCTTTTATCATGTCATTGTAGTATTTGTACATTTCTACAGTGCGTCCCAGAAAAGACGAAACCGAGAATTAAAAACTCAACTTTTTAGAAATGTGATTTTCTCTTTGAAATTCAGATACCGTCCGTCAAATGATTTTTTGGTTTCCTCTCTTCAAATTCATTTTAATCACTCATACGTGAAATATGCATCATATAAATGGCAGAAAATGAAAGAAGAGGATCTACGCTTTCCAAACATGGGTCATTTATTAATTATAAATGTGAATAAGTTATGATAAAACATCGATGATTCTCGGTTTCGTTTTTTTTTTCTGGGACGCACTGTATAGGTGATGGGGAGCTATCTAAAATGCCTATTGAAATAGCCCAATGGCTATTGTAAATGAAGGGTTGATTTTTAGAAAGTCTTTGCGACTTTGTTCATTTAAGAAGATTCAATGTGATTCGTTTAGATATGAACACAAATGCAATTCTTCCATCAGTACTCAGCACATGCCAATCATGTCTCTCTTTAAACGAAAGAATACGAACCATCATTATGTTTTATAGCATGAAATAAAAGGATTAGTCCCCAAATGAAATTTTACCCATTATATATTGTGACGATTCTTTATAGTTTATACATATAATGTCTATATAAAGTCTATGCTCAGGACATGATTATTTTTCGCAATACCGACAAGCTAGAAAGCTTTAAAGCCCCACTGCACTACTTACAGCTACTTGCGCCCTCTATATAGCAAACAATTCTTAATCGGTGACCGTAAGTCCCCCATGGTCCCCTCTTTCTTATGTTAATTGAGATCTATAGGTGACCATGCAGGGAGGTTTAATGTATCAAGGCCAAACTAGTGCAGATGGGCTTTAAAGCAGGTCTCAAAATCTATCTTTTCGAGCAAGTAATCCATAACAATTGAAGGAGCGGGCGCCTTTGAATGTTTGAAACAGATAAATGGCGCCATACAAGTGCTGCCGATCATCATTATCATCATCATGATGTCACATATCAATGGATTTGAATATAATGTTACTACTTTCTTATACATTGCGTAGAACAGCTGTACATAGTTCTGAATTGACACACACCAAGATTTAACAGACTTGGAAGAAAAGTGATGCTTAAAATTGACCGCAGTTGTGATCAATGTGAGGTCTACAATACACGCATAATAATGTCTTGGTCCGTCAAAATATCTGTTAAAACTTTGTCATAGGCTAGTAGATTTATGCGGAACTTTGTAAAAAAACAAACACTACATACGAAAACCGATGCTATACTGCTCTACATAATGCAATATAAATGAAAGTCACACAAACGAAAATACTTAAAAAAAACATACAAATATTTGCAGCAAATATTTTTTAGGTACAGCAAGTTCAACCCCACTACAATCACTTCATAAACCCTGAAGACCCCAACAAAATTATTCATAGAAAGGAAAACTGTATAGGTATAAATTCAACGATACTTCCAAATTTTTTACATTCTACAAGGGGGTAGGCCAGAGAGAAAGAGAGAGAGAGAGAGAGAGAGAGAAAAAAAGAGAGAGAGAGAGGAGGACATAGCGATTGTTTGGAGAGGAAGAAGAAGGAGAAGAAGAAGAAGGAGGAATAGAAGGAGACAAATAGAGAAAACAGTCCATACTTGTGATCAAAAAGGAAACATGGGAATTGAATTCCTATAAGGTGTAAATACTCCCATCTAGCGAAATAAATCACTCACCATCCCATAATAATCGATTCTCATCAATTTGAATACCTAAAAGTCTAGGAAAACTACGTTTCGTGGCGTACTACAAAACTCAAACACAAAGAATAATTCAGTGAGATTTCAGCAAGCACTTTTTCCTTAACGAAAGCTTTTCAAAAACCAAGTCGCAAGCACATTTTATGAATCGAAATAGATGCAGCATGTGAAATACGTGGGCTTTCATTCAATCTATCACAATTATTGGACACGATAATCAAACGCCGGCATGAGTCAAAATTGCGTCCGTGGGAATAGTTTTGAGTGAATATCTAAATATCTAAATATCTAAATATCTAAAAATCTGAATATCTAAAATACTTTTTAAACTGAAAGTGCCACGAGGGCCACACTATTTGTCAATTTATGACAACCATGAACGTCAAACAACTATAGTCGGATGTGTAATGATAATTGTTTCTGCGTCAAAACACAGTATTCAATCTAAATTTACAATCGCTGAATATAAAACTTAGTCATTTTAAACCACTTACTTCCTAATACACATGCACGAGTCTGTTCATTTCGGACTTTCGAGTCTTCCACAATCATCATATTATGAAAATGTACTCTTTCGATGTCAGGTAACCTTTGAACCTTTCTACTTCACTTTAAACTTGAGGTGTGGCTTACAGGCAGCTCTAAAACAACAAGTTTACTTTCAAACAATCTAACCACGTGATTGATTGACAAGGAGGATGTTTAACAGTCAGGGCCACTATCACTCTAGTCCAGAATCTGGCCTATTTAATTTTGATCTCCACCACACCAACGCTACCTCCACCGACTTACATTACTTGCTACCAGCCGAAGATGGCGTGATCATCAAATTGTAAGACGCCCGACGAGTTAGGCTGGGCTGGTGAGCGGATAATGAGTTTGTTGATAACGCCATCTTCGGCGGCTTGAATCAATTGTAGGGAATATACTATGAAGAACCGGCCAGAGTCTGGACTACTTTCACTCTGGTCCAAAATCTAGCATACTGTGTCTCTCGAACAGGAACTTTGATACACGTCAACGACAATAAAAATGAAATCCTGACGATGACGGCAAGTTGTTTCAACATACAACATCTGCTTACGTTTTTCCTTCTTTTCAGCCAAGGTCAATAAAGATGAAAGCGTGCAATAATTGACTGACCATACTGACGGGTGCATGCATACACCCAAACGTCTACATTTCTCACATTTTGGTGTCTTAATTAGATTGTTCTTTCTCACATCCAGTGTAAGAGTTGTTCAAGGGTTCAATTTGTGTACAAGAATATCTATGTATCTCTCTCTATCAGCTAGCATGCGACATGTTGTGTGGTCAGGTGCTGCGTTTCATTTGATTTCAACTGATTGTTGTCGTCATCGACACATCTCTCCACGTTCGTATCCCTAACTCCAATCTGAGGACTCCCGTTGCTAGTCGTCTTTGCAGCTTGTCTCGCGCCCTCTACGTTCTTGTCTTTCAACAGAGGCATTCCTTCCTGCGGAGGTAAGATGTGCTTAGCGCTCACGACGTCCCCATCTTTATCCATTTCTACTTTCTCCGGCAAGGCGCCGAGTTCGTAATTCTCGAACTCGTCTGACTTTTCTTGGATGGGTGAGTGCTGCGGTACCGACGAAACCGTCTGCGTCGCCGGTTGCTCGCTCGTTCCGATGCCGCCGTTCATCGTCGCAGACAAGTCGGAGTTGATCCGCCCGTTGTTCGGAACCCGCGAGGGACTTGAACGCAACGAACTCAAGCACGTGTTCTCGTCCGTAAACCACCTGGAGTAGGATGAGTTTCTCTGGCGATTAGCTGCTAGTCTCCTTCTCATGCATGGGCAGTCCTGTTTTCTCATTATTTTTACCGTTGTGCGTCTGATAGAGCCTTTGACCTAGATAATAAATAAATACAATCAACAAAGAAAAGCGACATAAACTCAAGATTCTAAAATGATAGCTGGAGATAATTTGTTTTGAATTAGTACATGAATTAGAAGGTACACTGTTGCTCATAACGGTGGAATATTTTTTTTATCCCAATTTATGGAATTATTTTAAAAATAATTAAAAAATACTAGATCTAGATAATAGTATACAGTCTCAGATTTTATTGAATAATAATTTGCCAATGTTTTGCGTGACTGCTAAAGCATGTATATTATGCTACTATGTTTATTAACTAGGGGACCTATGCCCTTAAGTCATAAATGACAGTAATGAGGATCAATGCCTCACAAAAGGGCACTAATATAGCACATCGACACGGTGTTGATCCTGGGGCCTCACAGTTACGAGGCCATTGCTTTGTCACTGAACCATGACTGTACGCAGCGGGGGCTAGGGTAGGGGGCAGTTTCCATGAATTAAAAAAAAACAGAAAATGCAATAAATTTTCAATAATTTATTGCATTCTACCCCGGTCCCCAACATAAACAAATCTTCTGTGTGCCCATGCCTTGAGCCATAATGCATGGCCGTCCAGAGGATTTTTTTATGTTGGGGACCGGGGTAGAATGCAATAAATTATTGAATATTTATTGCATTTTCTGTTTTTTTTTAATTCATGGAAACTGCCCCCTACCCTAGCCCCCGCTGCGTTCAGTCAAGGTTTAGTGACAAAGCAATGGCCTCGTAACTGTGAGGCCCCAGGATCAAAACCGTGTCGATGTGCTATATCAGAGCCCTTTTGTGAGGCATTAATCCTCATTACTGTCATTTATGACTTAAGGGCATAGGTCCCCTAGTTGATAAACATAGTAGCATAATATACATGCTTTAGCAGTCACGCAAAACACATATTGGCAAATTATTATTCAATAAAATCTGAGACTGTATACTATTATCTAGATCTAGTATTTTTAAATTATTTTTAAAATAATTCCATAAATTGGGATAAAAAAATATTCCACCGTTATGAGCAACAGTGTATTTTAAGGAAAAAAAGAGAAAAATATTTGTGGCACGGAAGTCAATATAACCATCCAAATAAAAAGGCCAACAATCAAATTTGATATCCTTTAAGTTTGTTAATTTTTTCTGTTCAGTCATCTTCTTTAAACAATGACGAATACATCAAAAATAAATTTTACATTCATAATTGATATATTTTTGTTTTTTTGTTTTTGTAATTCCAATTCACATTGTTTGTTAATAAGAAAAGAACAAAAAAGCCAAATACATGCATCACTGCAAACGTATATGTATATACTGAAATTCAATCGCTGGTACAAAGATCAATAGAATATATCAGTGGCGTATCCGAACATGCATAGGGGGGGGTGGGTATATCTAGGCTGCCGAAACACCGCCGGCACTAGGGCACTGCAATATGATGCATGCTTGGAACTACGTACTGCTACTATCAAACAGTACACATAATTATTATCTATACCACGCTTTCAATTAGCACAATAAATCAGTGTATTTAATATCTTTAGCGCAGTACCCGTCAAATTTGTTATTTCGCTAGTCAGAGTCACAATGATAATGATAATATTGTATGGCTTTGTTTTCGTGTGATACAAGAATATATTGCTCTCGATGTGACAATATTATACTCGTCTTCAACTCGTCCTAAATTGAAATGCATGTAGCTCTATCAATATATTCTTGTATCACATTCAGAGCCAATATCATATAAGTATTTTTCGTCTAAATGGGGGCGGGGGGGGGTGTTTACTGACTCCGCCCTAAGCTGCTTGGATACGTCACTGAATTATACATAATGTTAGTTAGTAGAAGAAAAACGAATAAAGGGTGAGTTAGTATTATCTGGTGAATGACAATAGTTACGCAAGAATGAGCATGAAATTGTGCACTATGTTATACAATACTGTAAGTATGGTGTTAATATTAATTATTTAAAAAAAAACAGGTACAAAGATATTGAGGATTACATAAAGTTCTGCCAAAGGTTAACAAGGTGTAATATATGCTGAGGTGATGATTAAAATGATAATGATGATGATGATAATGATGATGATGATGATGAAGATAAGAACAAGATGATAACGATGATGTTAATAATGATGGTTATAACAGTGACGAAGATGATGGTGATATTACGTAAGAAAGGAATGCATGCATGATGTGTAATGTTCATATAGGCAAAATGATCATAAATACAGGGGGACTAAGGTCAACATGTAATCAAGAACCTCGACACATTCTTACCAAATTTAGGGCATTTTTGCACGGGCCTCCAAAATTGATTCTAAAACAGGTTTGAACTTAATCACATTTCGTCGTCAATATTTATTTGGAAAAGTTTCATATTACCAAACATTACACATGGAAAGCATGATCAAATATTAAACGTTTCGACACTTTTTATTTGTTCATATATTTTTGTATAATGATATAAAAAATACGATGTAAAAGCAGCCTTATCATGCTAATATTAAGAGGTTGCATTTACATTCATATGATGATACAAGATGGTAACTGCATTCTTCACGATTTCATTATGCATTTTCGTGCTTTTTGTTGTTGTTTACATTATATTATAATTATGCACAAGACCTTCTAATAGACGTCACATGATGATATTTCATTACCATAATGTTTGTGGGTTTTTTTTTTTTTTTGGGGGGGGGGGGGGCTTATATCATGTGAATTTCACGGTTAGGGAATTAGTCTTAAAATCATTGCCTACCAGAAAAAAGGGATTTCTATATTAAACCTAAGTTTAGAGAATATAATAATTCAGTAATCTATGAGTAAACACAGGCAATAGTAAGCGAAAGAGGAGATTAGAAAATGTGCAAATAAGTGTGTTTTGCAGAACACCAGAAACGTGATATCATATAAATGAAAAAAGTGATGAAAAAATGGTGACACATACAAACGATGTCGTTCAAAATGAGTGCAGGTTTAATTGTGTGCACATCTTTTTATCTTTATAAGGCGCGTATGCCTTTTCGTAAACAAAATACACATCAGGTTTTTCAAATGCATTCATGCGAATGCGTTGGATTCGTCAACAGCAAAAATAACTAAATATAATAATTATGATAGTAATATCATACAAAAATTATTAATACATGGAAGGCAATATGTAAGCAGCGCAAAAATGCATGTTGTCATATATAAATATAATGCGTGCCTGAGAAAATGAAATATAATTATAGGAAGAAAGAGTGGAAAAAAGCGCGTCTTCCAATCAAACTGGAACATTGTTATAAAACAACGCTTTAGGGACGATAGGCATACTGCTGCATGAATGGTGAAAACACTGAAATGCTTGATTATGATGGAAGCGAATAATAAAACGAGGGCGACGATTCTTTTTCTGACGACGATGACCAAAACGACCACGGACCACTGAAAGCTACTGATAGACTGAGATGCGATGTTTGAAATGAATGGTCATGAATTAATACCCTGTCTTTTGAACTGTATGGTGGCAGCGGGGAACGTAAAGCAGCCGGTTTGTGTGTGAGTTTTTTAGAGAAGCGAGGTGGACCGAGGCGGTCTACGGAGACTTTGGCGTACCTCGCTGTTGAGGAACACGTAGATGACGGAGACCTGGATGCCCTGGGTGCTGGTCAGGAAGGTGTTGATGTACTGGAGTACGAGCGTGACCGTGATCTCGAGCTGCGACTCGACGATGGGGACGATGATGAGGAAGACGACGTAGTGAACGCCAAGGAGGACGACCAGCACCATGGTGGCCTTGGCGCCCCTCCTGGAGAATGAGGGAGGAATGGAAGAAAAACAAAGGTAAGGGACAGAATAAATCGGGAATGATATAGGGATAAAGAGAGAGGGAGAGAGAGAGAGAGAGAGAGAGAGAGTGAGAGGGAATAGAGAGAGAAAGAGAGTAGGGGGATGGGCGAAGACAGAATATTAACGAAAGAAAATTAAAAGTTGTATTGATTAACACCTTATAATAATATTTTATTGTGAAACTAATTACATACCGTCATTTGAGGTATAGAACCACAGAAAAAAGAGTAAATCTCGTATACAAATAATATTGGAGTAGTGGGAGGGATAGAGAAAGAGGGCGAGAGAGAGAGAGAGAGAGAGAGAGAGAGAGAGAGAGAGAGAGAGAGAGATGGGGGGGGGGGGTTATAGGGCGGCTTGAAAAAGAAGCACATAATGAGAATACAAATGAAAAGAGAACTAAAGAGGAGAGATGACTGAATTAGAAATGATCACTTTCTTACCACGATTGTTGTTCTTCGTTTCTCAAGTTTTCTCTTAGTTTTTTACACAAGCAGCGCATGATGTTGAACAAGAAAATACAATTCATCTGCACGGAAGAGAAAAGAAAACAAAATACAGATAAATACAATTTCATTCATTACTGGATTGCGAGAAAAGATCCAAAGTATAATTTGTTTCGTCTCAGTTTCCCCCTCCACATAATTATATACACATACAATATAATATGTATGAAAGATTTGGTCCCAATTCATCGGTGATAATATCAATTTGTTTATTGTAAATGTATTGTTCACAAAGCAATCTCCCTATATAGCTTAAATAGAAAATTTATTACATGGAATATTCGTTCAGCAGATCAAACCCCTTAGTTTTATGCGTATATTTAGCCATCAGCACAAACTTACCATGTTTACCGTTAAAGAGTAGGTGACATCCGTAAACCGCTATCCAACCCTTTCCACATAAAGTTCTGGAGACCGACTTGGGAATGATTTAGTAGTTACTATTTATTTATTATCGGTCAAATGCGACCGACCTGCACCAGCAGAGTTAAGTTTCTATCTGTGCAGTAAAATGGAAGTATTATTTGGGCTTATACTGGGCAACCTTTCAGCAGAAGCAAAAGCTAAGATAAATTACAGGAACTTTACCAATTACCATACATTTCTTGTGAACCAACAACCAATTTAATTGGGTTCAAATTTGAAAAAATAAAATAAGCTTTGCCTTTCTAGAAACAGGAAATAAATGTACTTTATCATTTAACAGATCCATGTACATAACTACACAGACCCATCAACCACTGATCTTAACGTCACCAATAGAAGAGTCAGAGAAGTTTATTTTCAGGCCATTTCCATTAGAATGGCTCCGTGTTCCGCTTGTTTAATTAGACGATGCATCACAAACCCCCTTACTGATATAAATATTTTGGCCATCAAAGAACGTCTCTGTCTTACAATATTATTGGTTGTCCAAACATATAAATTCGCTTGGCGCCAATCCTGTCTCTCAACCAGTACCGAAATGTTAGGGAAAGAGCGCCACCTATCGTTATAAATGTCGCTTAACGTAAAATCAAATACGGAAATGGGTTTGAGGCGCCTGAAGGGTTCGATCATTAGCCGAATTCTTGGCATAATGTTTCCAAAGGCAGTGTTTTTCACATAGGGGCTTGATTTCATAAATGATCGAGTGCATGTTATAATGCGGCTGGTATGACGTTGTAAGAAAACATTGTCATTTGAACATAATTATTCTCACGTTCCTCGTAAATAATCTGTTTGCCAATTCGCAAGGGCATGGATATGCCTCTTAATTTGAACTGTTTCCTGTGTTTTATGTTGATGCACACCTTGGATTTTGGAATTCTATACTAAATTGCCAATATTGCAGCTGATATTTATAGACAAATTACTTCTTTTTCTACATTGCAGTTAATATTTTATATTCCTGCTCGGCCTCAATAAACCGGCAACACCGGATACGAACATGTATACAATACGGCCCATTTTACTGTCTTAAATTACGCCATTTAGCCCCCCCCCCCCCCCCACACGATTGAAGCCGGTGAAACGAATTCCGATATCACGATAACCTTGGTTTGCAACAGTTTTTTTTTTGGGGGGGGGGTATTGTTATTGAAGAGAATAAATATCCTAAAAATCAGCCAGATTCTGAACAACTAGAATATAATTATGTCGCCTCACCAGATCCCAAGATAGATACAAAGACATGAATAATACTCCATAACGCACACACAAAATTAGATTGTACTTACAAATAATGCAACTCCGATAGGCCCTATAAAGCAGATGTAATCTTGAACGCTCCCATTTTGTGATAATGGATTAGCAAATCCTCTGAAAGGGAAGGAAACACATAATATCGAATTTAGGGGGTAATCAAAAATCACAAATAAATGTCCATGCTTTCTACAATAATTATTATAATTATTATAATACACGATGTACCAGATGCAGACTTGGGCGAAGCCATTGTACAAAATGAATAATACTACTACTTATAATAATAATATATAGTAATAATGAATTGAATGGGGGGGGTATGCTTTAAAGTAGAATCCAGATTTTTAAAATAAAAAATGCATTGAAAAAATCAAAACACCCCCCCCCCCCCCCAAAAAAAAAAAAAAAAAAAAAAAAAAAAAAAAAGAGATAATAATAATTTATTTAAAAACAACTTTATAAAAACGCCCCCCCCCCAAAAAAAAAAAAAAAACCCATTCATATCTATTTTAGTTAATATGAAATTTAAGTTATTGACAACACAATAAACTAACTAACGGGCAATTTCAATAACCTGTTGTATAATAATATGTTATATAAATCATATTTGGATCACGAGATGTGACTAGATAATTTTGGCACATTTCATTGGGTGATGGACCAGTCTTTTGAAATTGCCTTAACCCGTTGACTTCTGAATTATCTAATTACCGTAGGCCTAATACAGGGACTACTCGGCTTCCGTATACAAAGGGTTAATTGATTTCTCGATAGTCTTTTAGTTCTTCATACAGAAAATGGGATTATAGTATACTGTCATAATGATCATACCCTCTGGTTAAAGATGAAACGATTGCCCAGAGCGACACGAAAACCGCCGGTAAAACTGCACAAAAGAGAAAAGAGAATTGCTAATATTAATGAAATTCTGAAAATGGTTCATCTAATTTGCAGAATTGATTATAACAATTTTCAGATTACGTAATTCTTATAATTGTACATCATGCGACTTTTGTCTCCGAACCCGGCGGATCAACAGACTTCAATTCACTCGAAGACGCCAATTGTCTGCTGGCAGACAGCCGCAAGAAGAGAAGCATGTATTTGCGTAATTAGAAAATTGGTTTCGATTCAATAATGTTCAACTATTATTCGGTTTTTAAAGCAGGACTGCACTACTTGTAGCTACTTGCGCCCTCTGTATAGCAAACAATGCCTAAGCGGTACCCGTTGGTCCCCCATGATCCCCTTTTTCTTATGTTAATTGAGAGCTGATTTAATGAGATAACGACCTGTCAGTGACCTTGCATGGAGGTCTAATTTCTCCTGGCCAAACTAGTGCAGACAGGCTTAAGGAACCTGCAAAATGTAAAGGGACGCATGCGTGATTACTGTCTCTTTAAGAAGAACACGTTGGATGTTTATCATGTCTATGCTATTGTTTTTCTGATCATATTTCATACTTCAGTACATTAGAGAAATGAGGATTGTCGAGTTAGGATGTTTCTGGCACAGGTAGCTAAAGGGCAATTCCTTGCGGTGTCTTAGAGCACCACTTGGCCTATTTTGTCACACGTTTGCATAGTATGAAGTAGTGCTTCATGTCCTCGATTCCCTTAGTATGGAAAAGTGAAAAGGAAACACAAGGGGAAGTTGCACGTATAAATGTAATTAAAAATTTCTCGCACATCAAAATCAAATGGATATTGGTTACCAAGGTTACAATAGCGTTTGGCAAATAACATATCTTGTGTTTCAAATTGCTCTTAAATAGTCCCTATAAGTAATATTTAAATATCGACCTTGTTTAGTTTGGAAAAAAAAATCATTAAGTTAAAATGGAAGGAAGACCTGATCCCTTTTGTGATGATAAGCTTGATTAAAAGTGAATGATTAATCTAATAAAGTTTTAACCGCATCGCGTAGATTTTCCCCGTGTGAAATGGCGCTAAACGCTGTTAGTCATAATGTTGTTTACATTTTACACATACGTAGTATTCACTCTAGCTGTAGAAAATCTATAACGTGCCGTTGGCATTCAGGGCAGGGTTTCATGAAACCGCCATAAGTACTAGCTCGCCGACATCCCATTGAAAAGGCGTGTTAATTTGAAGCGACTCTATTCCCCAAAATCCATACAGCAACCAATATTCACTGTATGGAATTTCATATCGTGGCCATTGACAAAAAATCTATACCACAAAAAAAAACTGTCAGTCCGTCCATTACGATTTGGCTTTTTCAGGGTTGGTGACCTCATTTTAGCGAGTTTAAAGCCCCACTGCACTACTTATAGCTACTTGTGCACTCTATATAGCAAACAATGCCTAAGCGGTGGCCGTTGGTCCCCCATGGTCCCCTGTTTCTTATGTTAATTGAGAGCTGATTTGATGAGATAACCACCTGTCAGTGACCAGCATGGAGGTTTAATCCCTCCTAGCCAAACTAGTGCAAATAGGCTTTAAATGCGCTGATCAGTGATAAACTTAAGCTGGCGAGAAATATGGTCGTAAATAACACAAATTGAATAATTGTGTTGTACTTTACGTGTCTTTTAGTACGTATACAGATCTGCTTTATTTGTTCGGACAAAGGGAGGAGGGGGATGATAAATTAATAAACATGCTTATCATTCTCCTTTTTTCTGACAAACAACCACTGACTGTCAAATTTAGACCTTTGCCGAATTGCAGGCCTGAAAGGCTCAAATATGATTTGTCACGATAATCCATACTTACTCCATCCGATGAAAACATAAATGAGAAAACTGATTCGGTTCGCATCGATTCTCATGGCAAAAACAACCAGGGTGTGGAGATAGAGGCCCTCTACGAGCATCCAGAAGTAGTTAGTCATCAAGGCGTAGAAATAGAGCGTATCCAGAAGATTTTCCAACCACTAAATGGAAACAAAACACATTTGAAAAGGTAAATGGTAATACAGTCAAACCTGCTTTTATAGTGATCACCTGTATAGAAAGACAACCTGTCTACGAAGACCACATTCTGTTGTTTCCTTTGAAAATGGTTTCTCATTGAAACATGTTCTATTAAAAGGAACGTGTACATAAAGACCACCTGTCTATAAAGATCACCTTTCTTGTCTCCCTTGGGTGGTCTTTATAGACAGGTTTCACTGTATAAACAATAATATTCTGGATCTATATGTATATAACGCGTAATGCATATAATATGATGTCTGTAAGCGCTTCATATAAATATCGTCAAAGTTCGAAATGGGTAATTATTTGCGATGAAAGAGTTTAAGCAGTCCACAAGACAATGTATAATACATGTATTTATAAGATGATGACGTGGTTCCTAATCAAATGATTGGTTAAAAGCGTACACGAGACCAGGCATTTATTTTGCCTAACGCGTAATATGGATAATGACCGGTCATTAGTAAAATCATGTTATAAAACATCATTTTATAAAGCAAATAAAACATAATCTTATAAAACAAATAATACACATCATTAGTAAAATTACCCGCGCTAGGTACCTTCAAAACAGTCCAAACACCCTCGGCTACCACCTCGGACGTGTTAGACAGTTCCAAAGGTACCTTGTGTGGGTAATTCTTACAAATTCTCTCACTGCCGTGTATAATTTGTATAATATCTCACCTTGATTTTTGTGGCATTAGCGGACTGTCGAATTCCAAGTGCGATGAAATAGATGAAATAATTGAGGATGAATGAGCTGATGAGATGCCAATGTATGTGATTTCTCCTGCACCAGAGACGCCTGCCAATGAAATGAAAACGAAGTATAAAATTTATCCCCTGCATGAATAATTCTCGTGGTCTATAGGGCTCGTCACCGGACTGTGGATCACGTGATTCAATTTTTGATCATTCGGAGAAATATTGAATGAAAGATTATATTTTCAATTCATTTTCCAAACAATGTCCCACTTTAAAATGGAATGAAATTTGACAGCTGTGAATTTTGGACACGGTAAAATGCAGCAACCAATAAGTACATTTTCGACTTCTATACAGGTTCGAGAACATTTATCCCTCCCCGACCATAAGGTTAGATTTCTTACCCTAGTTTGATCATTAGGGCTATTACACGTTTTGATAAAACAAGCTATGGACTAATTCCCCGCAATCAATTTACTCCCAGACATACAGACGTTGAAATGCTAAAGTAATACACAGGTGAAACTCCATTAAAAAATTACCGTCATCAGCTAAGAATTTAATAAGACCGCGGTGATTACTATTCCATAATTATATAAATGTATACAATTTGTACTGTAGATAACCGGGAAAGGTCAAAATGTGTTTTGCATTTTAACTTTCCGTAGATATTGCAAGGGGAAAATGCTCGTATAGGCAGTGTATATTTTCACGGTTGCTTGAATGCAACCCTGTTAGAATTGTCAGTGTATTGTGAAACAAAATGTATAAACTAGACCAGAAACACTTGGCAGGGAAAACAAAAATGTAGAGCTCAAATTCGCCAACAATGAAAAGGAACGGGTAACTAGTGTGCACATTTCGCACAAAACTTTAACAAGTTGCATTGATCTTTTATTTCGTCATCTACATGAACTGTCGTTAATTTAGTATTTATCTACCATCAAATTATATATTTTTTCTGGAATCTTCTATGTAAATTTTGTACATTTTCTGAGACAATATTCGTTTTCAACCAATGCTAAAACTAATGACTCGGCTTATAATGTACGACAGTCTTGTTGGTTGATTGATTTGTTTGTTTATTCTTTAATTAATTAATTACTTCATGACAAATATTGCTGCGTACGAGTTTTGTTGAAAACAATATTTGTTCATTCTATCAACATCGTTGTGAGCGAAATGTGACACATGATGGCATATAAAGCTCCTCCTAATTTAAGTATTAAGCACTTACCTGCTAAATAAAAAGATGAGAAAGGCTACGATACAGGCTAATGCTGAAAGGGCACAGCCAAATGAGTTGATGGTGAAGATAACCTGTTTCAAAGAAAATTACAAATATATATAGTGAGAACTAAAATGTAAGGCAAGGTAATAACTATTTGTCATCATCTATTGGAAACTTTTACCCAATAACTCCTTCGTTACTTCTCTAATTGATAAACTTACATCTTGAAATCTTTACATCGGTAAAAATCTACAATTAATTCGTTCAACGTTGACAAGAAAGGCAATTATAGGTCTAACTAATACGATTACTATTCATTTCCTTTTCTAGTGGTTGATTATTAAGTGCCTCCAACTTTCCATGAATGTAATGTCCGCTTGTTTTTGTTCTTGCTCCTTACGTTTTCTGCTTTATCTTTCCTCCAATACTATTATTTCTCCCTTTCTCTTCTTCTTTATCGTATTTTCCTTCTTCTTCTTCTTCATCTTCTTCATCTTCTTCTTCTTCTTCGACTTCTTCTTCCTCTTCGACTTTTATTGGTATTAATGATTTTTAGTGTTTGTATACAGAACATTAGTATGTTCATTTGGTTTCGAATCACTACTACATTATTTACAAGTAAACCATAAACCATTTTTAACACATTCGAGTTGATATCGAGATATAAATTGTACTTGAAGCTTGATTTATTTCAAACGTGGGAAATGAACAAAATACTTACACTACAGTGAAGACATCTGCATATTTTCCCGCTCAAATAAATTTCTTCTGGTGAAATAGAAGTATCCCACGTACCATTTAAGGTACAGCTACGAAACGCTGTAAAGAGAGCATAATGATTTATGATAATAATAACAGATGCACACATACTTTATGAGGGATAGGGGGAAGAGGAGGGATAGTCAGAGAGGGAGAGGGGAGTGCGAGAAGGAGAGAAAGATATATATATATATATATATATAGAGAGAGAGAGAGAGAGAGAGAGAGAGAGAGAGAGAGAGAGTGGGAGGGGAGATATGAAGAGAGAGAAAGACACACATACGGAAAGAGAAAGCGAGTGAGAGAATGAGAGAGGGAATGAGGGAGAAAGAGAGAGAGAGAGAGAGAGAGAGAGAGAGAGAGAGAGAGAGAGAGAGAGAGATGTAGCAAAAGAGTGGTAGGGAGATGAGTATGAGTCTCTTTTGCATTGTCATCATCACCATGATGTTGATCATCAAAATAGGCGATTGATATTACTTTCACACACACAATCTTGGCCAATAACTCGTTATCACTAATTAAGTTGGTGTCAAAAATGAAAATGTCAATATTTATGCCAATGTCATTGATTTGCATTTCTTAAACGGGCTCCTCTGGGGCATGTAATGCACGTAGCAGAAAGAAAACAATATTCGGAAAACGAAAAACAGTGTGAATGTAGCAGACAACAAATAAGTGAAGGCAAGAATTAATTTAAAGATTATGCATATGCATTGCCATAAATGAATGCAGTTGCAAATGGTGATGATGACGTCATTGTGGGACAAGGACCGAAAAGGTGCCAATAAATTAATAAATCAACGCCCTCATGCGTCCTACCACTCATATTCAATGATGCAGAACATGCCTCAAAACTCTACTTCAAAGAGTCAAAGTGGTAATTCAGTTCCCAACTTTAAACAACTTGAAACAATCCAAATATTGAAGAATGAACGAAACAAGCATATAGGAGGAAGAGGAAATGAAAAATTTGCTCTGGTAAACAAGAAGAAATTCCTCGCGTTATGGTAATTAAAGGGACCGTCGTGGTAACATTGCTCAGATGAGAGAAAATGGTACTAAGGTGGTAACGTCAATGCTAGATGGGAAAACAAAGATAATCTGAAAGTTTGAGTAAAAACCGATTACTATTGATGATAACAATTGGGAAAAACTGATCAAATCGATTCCTGAATTCTCCCATTGGGAGAATAATATAGTTGGCAACTATGTTATCATAATTTGATTTAATTTAGGTCAATGTAAATAGTCACAAAGCAATAAATTGGCTCGATATACCATTTTAAATATTTAAATGTTGAAAGATTTTATGTTTATGGTCTTTATTTTCATGGTCTTTATTTGCATGGGGAAACGGTTGGGAAAATTGAAAAATTGGTTAGGAGAATCGTAAATATCTTTGTGGTTTGAGAATTTGTCCAGGATATTTTGTATTTTGGAGGGTTAGTACTGTAAAAGGAATATAATACGTAACATTTCATACACAAAATGATCAGTTTTTCCATCAACCTTCAACAATGTTACCGAGTCACTTTAATGAATGACGAAAAAGAGAGGAGTACAATTTTTCGGGGGGGGGGGGGGGAGTGAAGTGGAAGATGGGAAATAGAATACAAGAGAGAACGCAACAATAAAAGATAATTTTGTTTTTACCCATTGTTGTTTGGTATTGGTCAGCTTCCTCGGGACATGGTAGATATGTTGTTTCTCCCGCTTTGGTCGGAGGCCAGCAGAGAATGAGATCATGTTCGACTGGGCAGTACAAACCTGTTTCGGATAAAGGAGGAAATAAGGATAGATAGTTTGCTTGTTTGTTTGTTTTATTTAACCACGGTTAAAACACCCGCTAACAGCCATAATGCTGTTTTTCAGCAGTTCCGTTAAAAAAACATTCATACAAAATATATATTTAAAACAAAAATGTAATTTATAATACAAATTCAAATAACAAGAATACAAATGTGTCAATAACTATTCATAATAATCACACTTAGTATTTCAAATCATCTAATCATCAGAGGTGGATTGAGTTAAAGAACGAGAGAGCGAGGGAGAGGGGGAGAGAGATGAGAAGATAGAAAGAGAGAGAGAAAGAAAGAGAGAGAGAGAGAGAGAGAAGGAGAGAGATAGATAATACCAATTAGAACGTAGGGGGGAATACCATCGATCACCTTTATAAAGTTTGAAAGCAGAGTTTCTTTTCGGGTGCCGACTGGCATAAATAGCCGAGATGCGATATAAAGACCAAAATGATTATTGCAGATAAGGCGCATTTACTTGCGAGTCTCTCTTTACGCTTGTAACAATTCGGTGGTCATGAGAGAGGGGGGTATGAAGTAGTAGGTACACTGTATATAGAGTAAGATGAAATGATAGATACAAAGAGGGGGAGGGAGACAGAGAATACAGGAAGCGAGAGAGAGAGAGAGGGGGGGGGGCGGAGTTGGAGAGGGAACATCCGAAAAGGCTATTCTCGTATTCCGATTGAGTTAGAACAAAACCACCTAACATTGCATGCTGATGTACATGTACAACATACGCTTAATTAATAATAATCATTATAATAGAAGCGTTAATGATAATGGTAATGATAATTATAATGATAATAATATTTCTACAAGTAATAATAACAATAATAAACTGTTTTTTCTTCAGCGCATATCACCTGATGAATCGCATAATCATTATTAGTCAATAGAAGTTGTCAACCAAACAACCGAACGCGCATTGCCAATTATTTGAGGAGAGTAATTACTTGGTAAATATTTATGTTTAAATGCATTTTACATGTTTTTGATGGACGTAATTCCTAAGAACTGGATTCATATGACCCCACCACCATGACGGTTCCCAAAAGTATTTTTAAAACTATTTTCGCCGTTGTTAATCACAACAACTCTAGACAAACAACATTTTTACGAAACAATTTTCAAGAGAGATTACCTTCAAATTCTTCACTCGAATATGAAACGCAATTGTAAATCTTTTAAAATCCACAACTGATATGGAATATTTGATACATTACTTTATTTTTTCAGGTCGAGTCTAAAGGCTTTATATTATTAAGGCCCATGACGCATATAAAAAGACGCTTACCAGGTGACAATGAAAATAACAAATAAATAAACGATCAACGAAACACTTGATTATTTGCTAGTGACGTTATTTCAGACGTAGACGGGCGTGCTATTCTGACTACTAGATTAAGGAGAAATAAATTGTAAGTAAGACCAAATTGAAAAACTCTGTCATTAAAATGAGAATATTCTGCTTCTTTTAAACGCAATAAATCATAAAGATAGTGGCACTTCGCAGTTGAAGGTAAAGTCCAGGCGCACACTACACGATCAGACTACGATCCGATTTTGGGATAAGAGCATTTGTAATTAAAGTTCAATTTCAATTACGAACAAAACACAACTATTTTTTCCTTCTCTCTTTTTATAAGAGATGCAACTGTAATCAGTCAGCTCAAGACTGATATGCAGCGATGATTAAATCTCGATCCTTGGTATTAAGGAAAGGATTTTATATTTGTTTTTGACATGGAATTTGCTAGAATGACATACAATTTCAACCCAATAATGACGCAGATGCAGTGACGAGTCTGAAAAGGCGAACGTTATTTAAATGTAGAATGCATGATCTGTTATTAAAAACAGAGTATACCCATTTACAGAATGTAATCATTCAATCAAAAGAGATTTGGAGAGGCTTCACAAATATCAGTTCGACCATGTCCTATTAAATACACATGCACATTATTAATTTCAAACCTATTTTATTTAAGACGTACTTGGAATAGCTTACGCATTTATCATAACGTTTAAAATATAGCCAGTGTATGCACTATGAACTACATGTACATTGTGCAATTATCTCTGAATTCGGGTTGGCCCGTACTGTGGGTTGGGGTTCCTTCTCTGCCCCTGTCTCGATCCTTCTCTTCCACCTCTCTCCCTCTCTCTCTCTCTCTCTCTCTCTCTCTCTCTCTCTCTCTCTCTCTCTCTCTCTCTATCTCTCTTTCTTTTCCGTCTGTTTTTATCTGTCTCTGTCTCTGTCTCTATATCTCTTTCTCGTCCTCTCTCTCTATCATTGTCTCTCATTATTTCTCACGGTCTCTGTCTCTATCTATGTCTTTCCGGTCGTGCACCGGCCTGGAATGAGTTTTCTGGGGGGGGGGGGGGGGTGTGCAGAGATCTGGGTTCTGTGTACTAACGTTACGTTGAAAACCTCGAGGTCGTTTTACTATGTATATTTGAGCATTGTGTCGATGTCATGTTATGTTTTTCGAATTTTTCACCGATTTTTAATGTAATTATTTCTCATTTCAATGTCATGCTTGTGATGTCCTTTTATACATGATTTTAATGTAAAATGCAACATGTAAAACCCCACAATTAATTTCTATGCCATTATTGGACGAATAAAATTGAATTGAATTTAATTGAATTGAATGACTGTCAAATTATTTTATGGGGCCATAGGGAAAATATCCGTATTAAAAACACGATTGTTACTATTTTGGAAAAAACGAACCGAGGCAATTTCAATAAATTTCATTAATTGTAAGAGCATGGCAATGACGTATAACGTAATCAAAACTTGATTTCTATGGAACATACAATAGGGTATTGAATTTGCCCTTGAGTTGATTTTTCGAAAGTATTTGCGACCTTGTTTCAATTATTCTTTTACTCACAAAAAGTCATGTGCGGTGTGCTTCCAATTTAAGTTTTTTTTCCTGGACATTCTCGTCAATTTTTTTTGTCTGAACAAAACGTCCTTTGTAGATTAAACCATGTTGAATTAGCTGTTTTTAACGACCTGCAATCCCGTTACCTAAATCATGTAAATTCGCTACAACCTATTAATACCATGTTGTATACCACTGACATTATTTTGTCATAGAGAACGGGGTAATGTTAGGGTTGGGATCGGGTTAAGGTTAAGTTTGGTGTTAGGGTTAGTGTTAAAGCCCCACTGTACTACTTATAGCTACTTGCGCCCTCCATATAGCAAACAATGCCTAATCGGTGCAGGTTGGTCCCCCATGATCCCCTTTTTCTTATGTTGATTAAGAGCTAATTTGATGAGATAACAACCTGTCAGTGACCTTGCAGGGAGGTCTAATCCCCCTGGCCAAACTAGTTCAGACGGGCTTTAAGCGTAGTAAAGGTATGAAGGGATTCGGCTATGGTAGGAAATTGACCGCTCATATATTGACCGCTCACATTTATCTTGAAACCCATCGTTGGACCAGTATACTGCAATAGGGCATACCTCTGATGTACCTACACTGTTTTAACATGAAAGCCTTTGCCACCCGCCCTCTGATCGCCAACGCCACTGATCACCAACGTACTACCACCTGCTAACATCCGCAGATAGGATTTGAGGTGACAGACTTGCTTACTTGCACGTACTATTGAAGTATGAGTACGTCGTCCGCAGGGAGTTTGCTGTGGTATAGGGGCTGGGTTCACGCCTTATTCAGGGTGTTTAGCAAGTACAGTAAGAAAATGGATGCAACTAGTTGCCGCCTCCCCACCCCTTACGTTTCACACAAACATCTTCATATAACAAAGATCGCCGTGACGTATCCAAGCAGGAGGGCATGTCTGTACATTCTCTGACAATGGGGGCGGGGGGGGGGAGGGGGACTCAATCCAGATCTTAAAATTTAAGCTAGTTTGAGTTTCGATGGGGAGGCGTCATGCATACATGCTCAATGCAGATACTGAGGGGGGGGGGGGGGACATCAAGGGATGACACGTGCCCCCTCCCCCCATCCCCGTCCATGGATCCGCAACTGAATATGTATATAGACACCTATCTCTATCGACGACATAACATCTGCATGCATACATTCATGATTTTATTGGGGCAATAGTCCCAAGGCTACAATCACATCCGCTGATATATATTACATATGATGTATGCTGTCTTAGGTAGATGTCAACTTATTATATTACATTACTGTATTCAGGTGGAATAAAACGCTTTTAACCTAGCTCACAGTTTCACCTGATTTCTATCTTTGTTTTTGGTTCTCCAAGATGTCATCTACAGCCGAAAACTTGAGAGCATGTGACGTGATACTTTTTTTTCTCCCTCTGTTATACTTTTATATTATTTTGTAGAAAAAAAAAAGTATAGATGAAGAGGCACTGGCAAACGAACCGCCATTTAAACATCAATAGGAACCAATATCAGATCTAAAAAAAAACTATATGCAAATACGTGCAAAATGAGCGTTCGTGTTGCCAATTTCCATGGAACACGGTTATGGTGACTACTATTTTGTATACTACAATGATGATGTAAATGATATGTATATTTACCCTTTACAGTTTATATAAATCTATATGCTAAAACATGAAAAATAGAGAAACACTTTTAAATTGGGATAGAGATAATAAAACAAATTTAAAACCTCTAATAGGACGGCTTTGGAATGAAAATAGTATTGTATGTGATTTGTTGTACACGTATGATATATAATCATATAAATTATGGGCTATCGGCCTAGCAATGCCCCTCCTCCAATTTATGGATGTATCTTGCGCACTCCCTACTGAACAGAAAGGACTCTGGAATAACAAATGATAAATCCCTAACAATAACACAGCGCAAATAGATGACACTGAGGACTGATTCCTTGTCAGATTATCAAGAAGGAGAGGGAAAGAAACGACAAGAAAGGTAGAAAGAGAGAAAGAGAGTAAGAAAGAAAGAGAGAGAGAAAGGGAGAGAGAGAGAGAGAG